ACCGCGAGAAGCTGATCCGCAAGGACCTCAGCGATGAACAGGTCATTGAAAACTACAAGGCCTCCTGCGACGGTGGTATCCTCAAGGTCATGAGTAAGATGGGTATCTCGACCCTGCAGTCCTACAAGGGTGCCCAGATCTTCGAGGCCCTCGGTATCGATGACAGCGTTATCGACCGCTGCTTCGCTGGTACTGCCAGCCGTATCCGTGGAATCACCTTCGACCTGATTGCCCAGGATGCCTTTGCCTTCCACGAGCGCGGTTACCCCTCCCGCGACATCGTCGAGATCCCCGGTCTGGCCGAGACTGGTGAGTACCACTGGCGTGACGGTGGCGAGGCCCACATCAACGACCCCGTCAGCATTGCCAACATCCAGGACGCTGTGCGCACCAAGAACGACAAGTCCTACGAGGCCTACGCCAAGGCCGAGCACGAGCAGATCAAGAACTGCACCCTCCGTGGTATGCTCGAGTTCGACTTTGAGCAGCGCACTCCTATCCCCATCGACCAGGTCGAGCCCTGGACCGAGATTGTCCGCCGCTTCGTCACCGGTGCCATGTCCTACGGCTCCATCTCCATGGAGTCCCACTCCACCCTGGCCATCGCCATGAACCGTCTTGGCGGCAAGTCCAACACTGGTGAGGGTGGTGAGGATCCCGAGCGCAGCAAGCGCATGGAGAACGGCGACACTATGCGTTCTGCCATCAAGCAGATCGCCTCTGGTCGTTTCGGTGTTACCTCACACTACCTGGCCGATGCCGATGAGCTGCAGATCAAGATGGCCCAGGGTGCCAAGCCCGGTGAAGGTGGTGAGCTGCCCGGCCACAAGGTCGTCGGCCCTATCGCTCGTACCCGTCACTCCACCCCCGGCGTCGGTCTGATCTCGCCCCCTCCCCACCACGACATCTACTCCATCGAGGACTTGAAGCAACTTATCTACGATCTCAAGTGCTCGAACCCTCGTGCTCGTATTTCCGTCAAGCTTGTCTCTGAGGTCGGTGTTGGTATTGTTGCCTCTGGTGTGGCTAAGGCTAAGGCTGATCACATCTTGATCTCTGGTCATGATGGTGGTACTGGTGCCTCCCGCTGGACTGGTATCAAGTATGCTGGTCTTCCTTGGGAACTTGGTCTTGCTGAGACCCATCAGACTCTTGTTCTTAACGATCTCCGTGGTCGTGTTGTTGTTCAGACTGATGGTCAAATTCGTACCGGTCGTGACCTGGCCATGGCCTGTCTCCTTGGAGCTGAAGAATTTGGCTTCGCTACAACTCCTTTGATTGCCTTGGGCTGCATTATGATGCGCAGTAAGTCCAATAAATCGTTTCTTTTTAAACGTCTTTTTAGATGTTTTTTTGTGCATGGGAACCAAAATTGACCATTTTTATAGAGTGCCATCTCAACACTTGCCCGGTCGGTATCGCGACCCAGGACCCAGAGCTCCGGAAAAAGTTTAAGGGTTCCCCGGAGCACGTGATCAACTTCTTCTACTATGTCGCCAACGAGATGCGTGCCATCATGGCCAAGCTTGGTGTTCGCACTGTTAATGAGATGGTTGGTCGTGCTGAGCTGCTCAAGGTTCGCGATGAGCTTCGGAACGCCAAGCAGGAGCGGATTGACCTCTCTCTGATTCTGACCCCCGCTCACTCTCTCCGCCCCGGTGTTGCAACCTACAACGTCCGCAAGCAGGACCACAAGCTGCACACTCGTCTCGACAACAAGCTGATCTTCGAGTCTGAACTTGCTTTGGAGAAGGGTCTTCCTTGCCGCATTGAGTGTGATGTCGTCAACACTGACCGTGGTCTGGGTGCTACTCTCTCTTACCAGATTAGTCGCCGCTACGGAGAGGCTGGTCTGCCCCAGGACACCATCCACGCTAACATCAAGGGTTCCGCTGGTCAGTCCTTCGGTGCTTACCTCGCCCCTGGTGTTACTCTGGAGCTTGAGGGTGATGCCAACGACTACGTCGGCAAGGGTCTGTCTGGTGGTCGCCTCATTGTCTACCCTCCTCGCGGCGCTGCTTTCAAGGCTGAGGAGAATGTCATTGTCGGTAACACCTGTCTGTACGGTGCTACTCGCGGTACTTGCTACTTCCGTGGTGTGGCTGCGGAGCGTTTCGCTGTCCGTAACTCCGGTGCTACTGCCGTTGTTGAGGGTTGTGGTGACCACGGTGCTGAATACATGACTGGTGGTCGTATCCTGATTCTTGGACCTACTGGTCGTAACTTCGCTGCTGGTATGTCTGGTGGTATTGCTTACGTCCTGGACATGAACCAGGACTTCCACTCCAAGGTCAACATGGAGATGGTTGAGGTCTCTAACATTGAGGACCCCGCTGAAATTGCTTTCGTCCGCGGCCTCATTGAGGACCACCACCACTACACTGGCTCCGAGCTGGCTGCTCGCATCCTGCTCGACTTCACCCGTGCTCTTCCGCACATCCTCAAGGTCCTGCCTACCGACTACAAGCGTGTCATGGAGGAGGAGGCTGCCAAGGCTGCTGCTGCCAAGAAGGCCGAGTTTGCTCTGCCTCAGCTCCCCAGCACCCCCGTCAACGCTGAGAAGCCCAAGGCTCACGCCGATGAGAAGAAGGCTGACCTGCTGGACATTGAGGACAGCATCAGCGACGAGAAGGCCGAGAAGAAGCGCTCTGCCCTTATCCTGGACAAGACCCGCGGCTTCATGAAGTACACCCGCCGTAGCGAGAAGTACCGCAACCCCTCCACTCGTACCCGCGACTGGGCCGAGCTGTCCAACCGTCTGAGCGAGGACGAGCTCAAGTACCAGTCCGCTCGTTGCATGGACTGTGGTGTTCCCTTCTGCCAGTCCGAGACTGGTTGCCCCATCTCCAACATCATTCCCAAGTGGAACGAGCTGGTCTTCCAGGGCCAGTGGCAAGATGCCCTCAACCGTCTGCTCATGACCAACAACTTCCCCGAGTTCACTGGTCGTGTTTGCCCTGCTCCCTGTGAAGGTGCCTGTGTTCTGGGTATCAACGAGGACCCCGTAGGCATCAAATCGATCGAGTGTGCCATTATTGACCGTGGTTTCGAGATGGGCTGGATGGTCCCTCGCCCTCCTAAGGTCCGCACTGGCAAGAACATCGCCATCATTGGTTCCGGTCCTGCTGGTATGGCTGCTGCTGACCAGCTCAACCGTGCTGGTCACTCTGTCACTGTCTACGAGCGTGCTGACCGCATTGGTGGTCTGCTCATGTACGGTATTCCCAACATGAAGCTTGACAAGAAGGTCGTTCAGCGCCGTGTTGACCTCATGGCCGCCGAGGGTATCAAGTTCGTCACAAACACCGCTGTTGGCCCCGACAGCGAGGTCTCTTTGCAGTCTCTCCGTGCCTCTAACGATGCCGTCATCATCGCCACCGGTGCTACTGTCGCCCGTGACCTCAAGGTTCCCGGCCGTGAGCTCGAGGGTGTCCACTTCGCCATGCAGTTCCTGCACAAGAACACCAAGTCGCTCCTCGACTCTGGTCTCTCTGATGGCGAGTACATCTCCGCCAAGGACAAGCACGTCGTTGTCATCGGTGGTGGTGACACTGGTAACGACTGCATTGGTACTTCGGTTCGCCACGGTGCCAAGTCCGTCACCAACTTCGAGCTGCTTCCCCAGCCTCCCCCAGAGCGTGCCGGTGACAACCCCTGGCCCCAGTGGCCCCGCATCTACCGTATTGACTACGGTCACTCTGAGGTCAAGACTCACATGGGTAAGGACCCTCGTGAGTACTGTGTCATGTCGACCGAGTTCGTTGACGACGGCAGCGGCCGCGTCAAGGGTATCAACACCGTCCGCGTTGAGTGGACCAAGAGCGCCACTGGTGGTTGGGACATGAAGACCGCCGAGGGCAGCGAGCAGTTCTTCCCCGCTGACCTGGTCCTCCTGTCCATGGGTTTCCTGGGTCCTGAGGACCGCCTGCTGGGTGACGAGATCGAGCGTGACCCCCGCAAGAACGTCAAGACTCCTCCTGGCCACTACTCGACCAACATCCCCGGTGTCTTCGCTGCCGGTGACTGCCGCCGCGGACAGTCCCTGATTGTCTGGGGTATCAACGAGGGTCGCCAGGCCGCTCGTGAAGTCGATACCTTCCTCAGCGGTATCAGTTCCCAGCTCCCCGTGACTGGAGGTATCGTCCGCCGTCCGGCCATCGACTCTGTTCCCCAGCTGGCCGAGACCCAGGTCGTCGCTTAAACATGTTGAGAACTCATGCTTTAGGTGATAGACCACTAACGAGGGATGATGACCACGAAGCATTATGCCTTGACCTTCGCTACATTTGAAATCATGGCGAAGTCAGGCGGTAAAATTAAAAAAGTTTGACTAAAATGGAATGACGGGATGGGTTTTTTTCATTTCTAGACTGCGAGGGAGAGGTTGTAAACTTTTCTTGGGAGCTTATTTTCCACAGGAGGTTTTCTCTTCGTTTCTTTTCTCTGATGCTGGTTTTTGTGTTGTTTTTCTCTTTCCTCTCTTGGTTCTCATGCCCATTTTACGCTCATGTTGATGCTCATGTTTGTCTGATCTTTTGATCTGCAGACTCCCTTGCTTTGTCTTTTTCTTATGTTCGCAGCGTTTCTCTATGCAAGGTGTTTAGAGCGTCTGCTTGCCGTGCGCATTTTTTGTTGTACATACCTCTTACGCTCATCTTTACTCCTACTTTCAAGTATTCTATTTGAATCCTGTTTCTTGACTTTCCTGGGTCCATATAGTTCCGGTAGGTTCGTCTGGGCGGCTTTCTCGTTCAAACTTAGCTAACATGGATGAATCGAGTCCCCCGTGGTACAGTAAGCCCTCCTGAATATCAGAAATGAAAGGATCCTTTGTCTTCATTCACAATGTCTGCACAAACAAAATCAAACACCCAAATCAATAACAAAGCCTTTGTTTCTAATAAAAACCACACCCCTACGCCACCCTCCAAAAACAACCGTATAAATTGCCCCGACAATCCCTCCTTCCACGTCAAAACCACCAAACCCTCGATACCGGAATGATCGAGAATATACCAATCCTCATATTCCTACTAATCGTCCACCAACTCCATTACCTCGCCCAAAGCCCCCTCCCACTCCAAAAACTTGCTTACGCACTCGGCATGGTCCAGGTCGAGGATTCCAAACGTCACCGCTCTGGCTTCGCCCGCACAACTTCTTCATTCGATGCAAAGCGCCGCGTTAACATGAGTGGTAGACAGGAAGGCCATGGTGGTAGCGGTGCTGGCGGTATTGTGCGGAGGAGTCGTGACAGTGATAGTCAACGTGAGAGTTGTTCGTCGAGTGATGGTGAGAGTGTTGAGTCGCTTGATGTAACGGGCATGTTGTTGTCTCGAGACTCATTGGAGATGTTGGAATCACCTGCTGGGTGTCTGGGTGAGGGTGAGGTAATGGAGATGAAACAGAGTGTTGATGTAGATTTGACGGAAAGTGTGTCTGTTGAGGAGATGCAGAGTGATCATATTGAAGTGTCACTACACGAGTCTGATAAAGCCGTGAAGGAATCACCGTGTATTTCCACAAATGTATCACTGAGTGGTCCCGTGGAAAGAGGCTCGTTTGGGCCTGTCCAGCTAACCGAAGAACCCGAAAGCAAGTACGCAGAACTACCCCATTATGGTCCCATTGAGGGGGAAGAAACTCCCCAGAGCCCTTCTGAGGAACCATCAGGGCGTCATTTCCTAACGGGAATGAAGAAGGCATTCCAAGAGGAATCATTGGAAGAGTACGTCCCTTTGAATTGGAAGATTCCAGCTCATGCCAGGGAAAAATCGAAGCGTCGTTCTTTGGAAGAAATTTCGCCTATAGTGGATCGGAAGGCGAAGTTGCCTCTAGGGCCTGCGGATGCTCCTCAGAATAAATGATGAATTAAATGGTTTTGTGTGTTCAATACGTTAGTTCAAACGTCTGAATCTAGGGACCAAGGAAGAGTCCACCAAATACGCTTCGATTTTATGTACTTGAAAGATCTTTCCAGGGATCGTTGGAAACGCCTCTCTAGATAGCTCGGGCAAAATCTCTCAAATTTCCTTTCAAGTAGGGTTGATTTGACGTTTTTGAACTTTCCGAGGGGGTTCAAACTTGTGGAAGTCCACTGTAGAAGGGATTTGGAGTGCGTATTAATGAGATACTTTTGTTTTTATGTTTGTTTATAGCCAGCACTAAATCAATATCTTTGGTATTTTTTTCTTGACCAAGTGTTAGACCTCAGCTTCTGCCGTCTTTCTATCTTGTATTGAAGACTAAAGAACGAAAATCCCGTGGCATAGATCAGCCTTGGGTGGAATAATTGAAAGACTGCAATAGTGTCATGTCAACACATGATTGGTTCCACAGTTCCGTGAACCACATTCTTGTGGCCTCGTTGCCTGCGAGTAGATCCGAAGCAGGACTTGCGGGAATAAGGTCTGGGAGTTATAAGAAAAATATTAACAAACAATCCGTCCAACGTAGAAGAGACTGAGTGACTCACCCATAACTTTGTTGATGATCCTCGCTGCACGAGCAGCGGTTTGCTCAAAGACACCCATCTCCTCGAGCGCCAACTGAGCTCCCTCAACTTCTTGCCTCCAATCAAAAGAACATTCGTGTTGGGGATCATATAGTAAGCAAGCAACATGGACAAACGTCGCAGTGACCAGCCAGTAACAGGCGTACCAGACTAATGCTCTATGTCGATCTCTGCCACTACGCCAAAACATGACAATGGACGAAATGCATCCCTGTGCAGCTTCAACGCACCTGCGAGGAGGTTCATTAACGTTGCGCAAATCCAACGGTTGGCGTCGTCTGATCAGGTCCAGAATAAAGGGCCGGTAGATGATGATGCGAAGGTGCATCGATCGCCAAACTAACACCATTCTAGGAGCTTCCATCCTTTCGTATTCTGGGTTTTCAGGACTTGTCTTCATGTAGAGAGGCAGAGAATCAAACCATTCGTTGACCTGATTTCCGAGGTTAAGCATCACAGGAGCAGGCGGTAATTTGCTCTCGAAGAGTTTCATGTTGGCCAGATTGGTTATACAGGCGAGTTTGGACTGCCATATAAGGCTGGAAGCTACTGTACGGGTGTCCCGAGGTTCTGGAAGTTGGACCATATCGACAACAAGGTCTCTATCGTTGAGGTTGTGCGGGAGTTGCATATTAACCCCGCCCAAGGATAGGGTAGGCCGACCAAATGTCAGCCTCGCACCAGAATCGAATATATAAATAGTCCACCACACACGACGTCTCATTTCCATCTCAAATGGGCTGATGCTGGTCGTGGAAAATTCTCGGTGCATGCCAATACTTTGTGCCATGTTCATGGCTAAACCGAGCATTGCAAACCCACTATTCGGTCGATTACGCTTCTGCAGGTAATTGGCCATCAGGGTCAGACCTTGTAACAATGGTAAAGAGCCTCGTTGCAAGAGGCTAAGAGAGAGATGCTGTGATGCGATTCCGTAGAAAAAGTGGTCGGCATTATGATTCGAAGCGTCGCCGGTAAAGGCACCGATTGCGCGGACCATATTATATAGCAATGGCCACGATCCATCTTTCGGTTTAGAAAGGACTCCTAAATTTTCAATGAATGAGAAGGTTTGATAGAGATTGCGGGTCTTAGAGCGCTAACATACCAATGCACTGTGCGCGGAAATACCCTTCATGAAGAATGGGATAAGCGCAATTATACAGTTCAAAATACCAATCAATACATGAGTCCGAATATGATGACGATTGAAGCACATCCTCAGCCAGGGTCGACTTGTCTTGGCCTGGAAATGCCATCTCAGCCTCTTGTAATGGAAACAGGTGCATGTGAAGCGACTGTAAATTCTTCAGAAGAGCATTTCCTGATTGCGGGCCCATGTACCCGATGCCACGTTGAGTTACAGAAAGTGAGCCGATCCCATCATTGACGGAAGTCGAATCCGAAGACTCATCCCAATCGAGAGTATCAGCATCTTCTAAATCGGGCTTTTCGGCTGGTGCAAGTGACTCCTCTGCTTCTGAGGGTTGGGCTATCGGTCGCGAACTGGGGGTGAAAAGAGTGCATTCGCTCCTTGCGTCTCTAGGAAGTGCTTGACTGGTGAAGGGAGAGTGGGCTGAGTTGCTCATCTCTTCCAATGCAGCGTCCACATTGATATTGGGCAGATATTTCCGCCAAGCCGCTTCCAATGCTTGGATGCGTTTTCGACATTGCCTTAATCGCCTGTAGAGTTTGATGAGTAGACTGAATTTGGAAGGGTTGAAAGAACGAATTACTGCCGATACACAGTAAAACTCACTTCTCTGTATTTGCTAGTCTTCCATGTGGTGAGCTATACTGGCATGGATTCCCGCTCCGATGGCAATGTTGGCACGGTATTCTTCCGGAACAACGCACTTTTCGAAGTTTGCAGTTATCGCAGGCCCTGTGTTTCGATATGCTAGGGGCTACGCCATCCTGTGGGGCATCCAAGTCAGCACTTGGTGTTGCCATACCGAATAGTCCGAGCTGCAGGGCCTCTTCGGGGGTTGATGATGCATCGCTCTCTCGGAGATGCACATCGGCGTTTTCTCCGAGGCGGGGTTAACTATGTTCCACTCGTCCAACGACGGGCTACATATGAGACCTATCTATTCAAATCGCCGAATCGGTAGACTTTTGATCTGCAGATTGTCTGATTTTGTTTGGCTACTTAAAAATTTTTACCCTAGATAATTTGTAATAGAGAATTGTGTTAAGAAAGGTCTCCTCCAAGCCCTTGAATCTTTATTTCAAGGTCTATTCGTCTTAGAGGTAAGAGAACAACTAGATCAGGGCTACTAAGGATTAAAATAAAAGTAAGGTTCTCTCTTCCGAATGTCCAACCATACTAGCCGCTTGAGTAGTAATACGAGTATTAAGAAGTTCATGGTTAGGCCTGCATAGCAGAACGTTCATCAACAACGTTTACCATTGCTCTCGAAGAGCTGAGAAGAGTACAGCCCTGTTGGAATAGACTCAATCATAAGTAAACTATTGAATCTGCTTCTGGTATAATCCGATCCTGATACGCCCATGCACAGAGTCAGGAAAGTGCCAACATATCACTGTTGTGAATGGCTTCTAAGATATCAGATAACAATAATCTATATACCTCCAATACTACCCCAATACTACCTCCGATACTCATATTGAAAGAACGGTATTCGACCCGGTAAGTATCATGCCACCTTCACTTGGTCGGCTACCGAGTGGACCTGGAAAATAGACCGCCATCCAGAAAAGTGCCCCGAGGCCGGAGTACTAGTCACACTTCTCCCGAGCTGTGCGTAGCGATACGTATGACATCATCTCCAACCTGGAGGTGGGAAATTGCCAAGTCCTTAGTCCAAACGCAATCCAGTGGCCTATGGTATGGCCTTTCTGACGACATGATTCATGAATTGAGCCGCAGAAATAAACCAATTCCCCACTGCCACCAGCGCGGGGGAAGGCACCGAAAGTTTTGCGCCACGTTCGGGGAAACCACCGAGCAGATGTGAGGGGTTGCAGCTCGGGGGCTACCACCGACAAGCTAAATTTTCAATTTTTGCGAGTCATTGGTCAGAGATGCTCTGCATTCTGTGGGGCGTACGATTCAGTCTGGGGTAAAGACGCCTGGGGGAAACCTGTCTGGGGTAGAGTGTTGCTGACACTATCTACCGAATTGGCGTATCTGCATGTATTTAATAGCATCGAATTCGGCCTTTCCTGCAGACTTGCAACGTCCCCTCAATTTGTGCTTTTCTACAAGATCTATTTAGCCGTCGTCAGGGCCACTGCCGAAGGGAGAAAATCAAACTCAGACTTTCTTCTACAGGACAAAGCACCTAAAATCGCTATGGCTGGCGGGACCGCTGGTACAGCCATCGCTGGTACGCATGAAATTGTCTATGGGCCACCTGGTTACAAAGGTCTTATCAAAGAGCCTCGCCTCTTTGCTCTGGCATGTTTCGCCTCGATCGGCGGGCTGCTATTCGGCTATGACCAGGGAGTGATCTCTGGCGTATTGGTCATGAATAATTTCGTGGGTTCTACAACCCAGCCCTATAATCGGCGTCAGTGTACTAATACAACTTTGTCCGGGTTAGTCGAAACATTTCCCTGTCCTAACAGAGGATGCCGCTCTCCAAGGATGGCTGGTCTCAATAATGACACTCGGCGCTATGTTCGGTGCCTTTGTGAACGGACCGATTTCCGACCGATTATCACGCAGATGGTCGATCCTGTGCGCAAATATCATCTTCTTGGCTGGTTCGGTCATCCAATGTGCGGCAGAAAATGTCGCAATGTTGTTTGTTGGACGCCTTGTGTTTGGCTGCGCAGTCGGTATGCTGGCGATGGTTGTTCCGCTCTACCTGTCCGAGCTGGCGCCTCCTAATATTAGAGGAGCGTTGGTGGCTCTCCAGCAACTCTCGATTACCGTCGGTATTATGTGTAGCTTTTGGATTAACTACGGAACGCAGTATATTGGCGGAACTGGTGCGGGACAGTCCCAGGCTGCTTGGCGAACACCCCTTGCATTACAGTGCGTGCCATCGGCCATTCTCGCAGTTGGCACTTTCTTTCTCCCCTACAGTCCTCGGTGGTTGATGAATCAAGGTATATCTTTCAGAAAGACGAGTGGTTATTTTGTCATGTTGAACCTACTGACACTCAGACAGGTCGGGAAGATGAAGCGTTGCAGACACTCGTGCGACTGAGGAGAGTTCCTATCAGTGACTATCGTGTTACGATTGAATTTCTTGAAATCAAGGCTGCGCGTCTGTTCGACCAGCAAACCAAAATTGACAAGTATGGGGGAGGTCAGTCGGAGTTCTATGTCGCTTTGCAGCAGTACAAGGAACTCTTTACTGTCAGCCATCTAAGAAAGCGAACCATGGTTGCTTGTCTGCTTCAAGTCCTTCAGCAATTTACAGGCATCAGTAAGTTAATCTGCCTTTTTACCTCGATTTTAAGCCAAAGTTCACGGCTAAGCCTGTTAGATGCCATCATCTACTATGCCCCCCAGTTCTTCGAGGCTATTGGGCTCAGCGGTAACTCTGTGAATCTCCTGGCTACGGGTGTAGTGGGTATTGTTTTCTTCTTCTCTACCATCCCGGCGGTCATGTACTTAGATCGATGGGGTCGGAGGAAGACACTGATGCTGGGTGCTGCCGGTATGTCCGTTGCTCAGTTAGTCGTGGCAACTTTATACGCAGTGTATAAGAGTACATTCTCGCAACACCCGGCAGCTGGATGGGCTGCATGTGTATTCGTCTGGATCTATATCGCGACTTTCGCTTTCAGCATAGCCTGCGTCAACTGGATCATGCCCTCGGAGATGTTCCCACCCGCGACGCGAGGCAAGGCCGTCGGAGTCGCCATCGCATTCAACTATCTGTCCAACTTCATTGTTGCGCTCATCACACCTAGAATGCTAAAGTCCATCACTTTCGGGACGTTCTATTTCTTCCTGGTGTTTTGCATTACGCTCGGCGTGTGGACCTACTTCTGCGTTCCGGAGACTAAGGGTGAGTTATCGCTTCTCTAAGCTTGGAACGCTATCAGTGACTGATGATCTATCGCAGGTGTTCCCATCGAGGAGATGGATAAACTCTTTGGTGGCAATGATGCCGAGGCTGATTTGGACCGCATTGCTGAAATTCGATCCCGTATTGGCCTTGCGCCGAATGGAGACACGGATGCTATTCTTGAGGGCAAGGACATCGTGACCCATATCGAGTCTGTTGGCTGCACTAAATGAGGAGCGTGTATTTGATGGCACTTACTGATGATGAGTTTGCCTTTGCTGAGGAATCAGACGTACTTACCTGTGTGATACAGCTCCCTATATGCCCTAGACTGTTGTATATTGCCTTTTTGGGGCAGATAGTCGTATTTGTTTACAACCATTTTAGAATCGAAAACTAAGAACAAAAATAGAACAACATACAACAGCTAAAAGTATGACCGACCTTACCTAGCGCCCATCTTTAAGTTCTGGGCGACTCACCGCTTTACGCAGTCGGCCTTCAGGTGAGTTCGGGTGGCTTCAGGCGGCAGTTCACCTACCTGAATATTCTTCACCCAGAGCCCTACCCTAAAACGTGCTTTTGCACATTTTGATAAAGAGAAAGATTTTGCGAGCGGGAGATGCGTAGAACGACTGAGGATAAATTAAAGTGGCGTGCTGGGAGTGTCCAGCAGCGGTCTCGGACAAGCGCGCCTGGCCATCCTTGCCGAGTCTAAGAACCCGCGATTCTATTTATTCGATATAAGGTCTATCCTATATAGCCTTTTCCGCTATAGTGAATCCATCGGCAGGTCCTTTCGCGGGCGGTAGCTTTGTATGATCGATCAACGCAGCACCCTTAAGGATGATTTTCTAGAAATCTGTTTCGTTGTACCGATTCTGCACACCCTTTCCCATAGCCAAAGCAGTATCCCTCTAAATAACGCCGACTGCCTGTCGAAATCATAATCGGCAACCTCATCGACACATTTCCGGATCTTGTCAGGATCGGTCCTGATTGGGGCCATGGTGGTTCGATAACCTTATCGAGCGATCGCCGAATTTACTGTGAAACATTCAAACAATATCGAGGCCATTGCTCTCATTGTAAATTCAAGGTGGGCACTAATCGCGTTGTCAGGCAAGGGCTATTTCAAGGATCGTCGGCTTCGGATCAAGTACGTGGAACAATAACTTGTTTAGGTGGCAGGAGCGCGGGCTGCGCTCCGCGGCTCTCGGCTCGAAGGCTGTCCCTTCGACATTCATCACTTCCCCCATGCTCTTCATTGGCCGCTCAAAACGTGGTTACGCCTCTGATGTTGGTGAGTAACTCGGTTGGGTCGCTGGGGTTGAACGGGCGGACCGAGTCGTCTGGGCTTATGAGGTTTCTGCGATTGCTAACTTCGTCCGGGCTCATCGGTGCTCAGTCTCACCACGAAGCCTGGTATTATCCTCAATTTTCTGGAGTCCTGGCATCTTTGAACTTGTCGATTCCATCTGCAACCCCATCAACGTTCACCTCCTAACCCCCCATCTCGACACGTTGTCCCCAATTTGTCAAAACTTTATGAATTTGCGAACTGTGTAAGTCCCACGGCAAAATACCACTCAACTGATACACTCGATAGAGCCTATCACATTTGTCATCGCATCTGCTCAATGGGGCTGCATTGCCATCTCGCGCATATCCACTATCCACCACTTCAAAATGGAGCAATGGTCAACTCTCATTTCCCGAGTCCGTAGGCTCATACTTGACAACGATATCGAGGTACAAGCCAACAGGAATATCTTCCGCATTCCCACCTGAAACCATGGTCGACTCCAAGGAATTCTGTTCTCATTATTAAGGCAGATGCTAAATGTCACCGAATACTGATCATCCAACAACGCTTACGATAGATTATGGACGTGATACTTGTCATCAAGTGATAGATTGTGTAGGGAAACAAGTAGCTACAGAAGAATACAAGCCGTGTATTGAGAAACGACTGTCGGTTGAAATAAGCCTGTCCTTGTCAGAGAATGCATACGAGCTTTAGGCAGCTAAGACTCTTCCCTGCAGCTTTGCAGTGTTCATCAATAAATCAAAGACAATCTTTCCACGCGCATGGCCACTCTCCAGCCGCTGGTACGCAGATCGGAATTGCTCCAAGGGCCATACACTATCCACAACGGGCCGACACTTGCCCTCTTCGATAAGCTTAGTGATCTCTGTCAAGTCTGCACCAGATGGTTCCGTAATCCAGAAAAGGTCCCTCGCATTTGATGCAACAACTGCAGGCCGTCTTCCTTTCGGGGGCTCACAGATGCTCATTATCACGGCATTGTCTTGGAGACACGACCAGGCATCTTCCAGTGACTTCCCACCAATACAGTCAATGACAAGGTCGACTTTGTTTGCTGGATTCTGGCCCCATTTAGCAAGATCAACTGCACGATAGTCCAGCACTTCCTTCGCGCCTAGCGCTCGGACATGATCCACATTACTCGGCCCACAAGTCCCAATCACCTCGGCTCCAATAATACTCGCAATCTGGACAATCCAAGTACCAACACTGCCAGACGCCGCAGTCACCAACAAGCGCTTTCCCTTCCAGGCCGGACTGTCGAATGCACCAACTCCCGCATGTTTGAATAGCGCCTGCCAGGCAGTCTCCGCCGAAAGAGGCGCGGCTGCGGCCTCCGCCCAGCTTAGGTTTTGCGGGCAGCGTGCGAGCTCGGCCGTCGTGACGATCGCATAGTCACGAGCGCAACCGGGGCGATTATAGCTCGTGCGGGCGTACACCCTGCTCCCTGTCTGGAACGCAGAGCTCTCTGGCGCACTGACTACAACACCTGACACGTCGTCGCAGGTGATAATCTCTTTGCCGGGGATGTCTCCGAACCGCGGCCATAGAAGTTCACCCGCGCATGGAGCTGTAGCATGAACTCGGACCAAGTGCTCGCCTTTGTCGAAGTTAGGAATTGGCATAGGGCGCTGAACAAGAGTGATGGTAGTGGAGGTTGGAACCGCCTGCAGCAGGGCACGAACTGTCTTGGGGAGGGCGTTTGTCGACATTATAGAGGTGACACGGGAAAAAGACGATCACAGGCAGTGAGTTTGAGGCAGTTGCTTTGCTTTGTTGTGATTTACTCGAAGTCAGGGAAAGCGTCGATATTTATGTCATACCTGAACTCGTAAACTAGACGAGCCTTTCAAATGTTGCACTATCCTTCTCCAAGTGGCATTTCCAATCGATGCTTACGGTTAGCAGTCGCACTTCGCTTTCAAACCCACCGAAAGCCACACGGGCTTAAAAGTCTCGAACGGACGTGATAAGAGTTCGTGGTCCATGGCTCGAAACTCCCGAATAGCCTATTGCTTTAGAGTGCTGATGTTCGGGGGACGGGTATCAGCAATACTTCCGGTAATTTTGGGCCCAGACCTCAAGACTCAACCCGGAATCATAGTGCTTTCGACTCATTGAAAGAAATCCTCTACATTTGACTTTTATAGTATCCATATGGCTCTCATTATTGCGATCTCGGATTGCTTTAGCAATTCCCTTATAGTATCGGGTACCTCCATGTTGCTTGCGAATCCGCAGACCAAAATTACGGGGTTTATTTTGCGCGCCCACCAGGTCAGAAAATGGATTTGTTGCTCTCATGTTGTCTACAGTATCAGTAAAGTCAAACTTGTAATGCACGTAAGTACAGTGACTGCTATATTGCCGCTAATACTGCAAAGTATCAAAATTTGGCCCAATCTCATGATGTCGTGCGCAATTCAACCCTTGAAGTTATTCGAATAAAATCATGTCATTGCGCATTGCTTGTTCTCCAACCCCACTCAAGTCTATATCAGCGATGTTGTACCAACCACAGAGATCGGCGAAGGAATCTGTAAGAGCTGCATCAATGTCCGATGGCTGTAATCGGGGGCTTCTGGGACCTTCGCCACGGGCACACAACTGACCCTCGCTGGTTCCAGGGACAAGGCCTAGTACGTGACGCGCAATAGTCTGAATCTCCCTGACGATTCTGGCCGCTCTGGGCCATATCTCGGCCAGTGAATTAAGACAGCCAATAGTCGTCCTGACCTGGTTTCTTGCAATTGTCAAATCCATTCCCTTGAATAGAAACTTGCAGGCTGAGAGTAGTGCAAGCGTTCCCTGGGTGATCATGCAAGTGACAAACGGAGTGTGTTGGAATTTCGGAACTGGTAACGATAAGAGCTGAATCTGCTCCTCAGCAGAGCGAAGAACTCGCAACGTGTGTATATTAACGAGGTCTGGAGTTGGACGCTCGGGAGCTGCATCCCGAGCACAGCTCGAGATACTTTCGACAGGATTGGATTTCAGTTCTGAGAAGGGCCGGTGCAGGCTAATGATCGCCCTGATGAAAGGATTAGAAATTCCAAATGTCCGGGTATTGAGAACCTAGTGAGGTCCTTACACGTGAATGAGAAGGTGAGCTTGAAACATAAGCTCATCGAGATCACCATTTTTAGCCACGACTTGCTTTTTCTCCTTTGGTAAAAGGAGCATCCATGCGTTTAGAATAGAGTCGATCCTCTGTAACACATGCATCGAATCTGGCTTTGTCGCACTGCGCTCTGACGATGCTATAGATAAGGCGGCGCATCTTACGGCGCCCACGAGGTACGCAAAGGATGAGAACAAAACCTTGCCAGTCATAAATTCACGATTATCAAAGTCCTGCAGGGTTTGAGGTTTGGGGATAATCTATGACCAAGTTAGCAGCCGTCATCATAGCCACGTCCAGCACCCAGTCTGTGCATATAACACTCTGAAGATGCCAAGGGAGTACTACGTACCCCTGATTCAAATTCCAATTCTTCGCATGGCAACTCCACGGTGGCCTTAATATCCGCGAGATCAGCCCGCATCGATCCAAGCGTCCCAGAGTAGTAAGTATCTACAATGTATAGCATCCACCAAGTCCGCCGCCAACATTCCCTTAAGATACTATCGGCTCCTCCATTCATCAATGGGAACTCCTTTTGATACATCTGCAGATCAATCGCGAGACGAATGGCATTGTCAATTTGGTACAAGGCCTCAGCCTTGCGGTCGCTCCAATAAAGAGCTATGGAGTATAACATCTGGCACTGCACTAAGATTGGATCGAGTGGTCGTGCTTGTGAGAGGCATGCTTCCGCGTAATGCTCTAGTGTGGTCGAGAAATTCCCAGAAGCGTAGATCTCCCCAATGAATCGCATAAAGGCAATGAGCGGTTTTAGCTGAAGCTGTCTGCTTGGGTCTTGATGAAGCCTCACGAGATGTTTCTGTGGCAGGAGAAATGGGTGGAATATATGAAAGTTCTGATAATACGAATTCACAAGGCGATCAGACTGGATATTGTCAACATGGACTTGCACAGTCCCGGTCGGCAATGCAGACGACGCCTCGCTGCCAGAACTAATTGAGATTTCAGTGCTTGAAACACAGGCGCGTTGGCTGGGAATGTCCACAACTTGATCCGTGCAAAGAGGCTCCTGGCACGCTCCCGTCAGAAATTGTGTATCGGGTATGTGGATCTCTCCAGATTGCGCAGCCGCATGGCGTTGTTTGCGTCGCTCTACGAGAGCCGCACGATCCAACCCGCCTCGACGTGATGGCGCATAGTGGCATTCCTGAGCAGCCTCGCAGCAGCGGCTACAGCCCGGTCGGCTCCCATCGCATTTCAAGTGCCGTGAGCGACATGGCACGCAAGCCAAGGAGGAGCGTGTAGCTTTGCTAGCCCGCAGTACTGGGATACCGCTGGCGTTCATCGTTTCGTGTAAGAGATGAACTTCTCTATGGTCAGCAAGTTAGGATTTCGGGAAATAGGGAAATCGTGTAATCAAGGCGGATATCCCCTCAGTACGAACTAGTGAACGGTTACCCGGTCATGACGCCCGGCCAAGGCTACCCTACCGCAATATAGGGGAAGAGTGTTTCATCTGTGATCCTCATTGGTTGATTACTGGGACCGTGCCAACATTTTGTATGCTATGGTACGGTCGGGTATGGTTAGGAAGGGCAAGATGACCATTTGAACATGCCCACTATTACAGCCTCCAGCCCAGCAATCAAAGACACGTGATGGCGTCTCAATTCAAAGGTTCCCGAACGGCAAGAGAACCTGGATATTTTCGGTATCGGACTGTCGAAATTAGTCGTTCTTGCGGGTTAAGAGACCTGGTTTTGGATAGTACAAGATCATTCTCTACATCTCGTACTAACTCGCAAGACGGCTGCTGCTGCTCTGACATCTGTACCCCGGAGATCCACAATAGCTCCCCAGTCTAGATCTATACGACCAAATGTTGCTCTAACACCGTGAGATACTATGTTGTCGGAACTGTAGTCGTGAACCCTGTCTGTACTGGGAGTCCTGGTGGTGTTCGAGATAACTCACTGGCAATTAACTTTCGCCATCGCCACACATGGTAAATTAGATTTGACTAGGCGGGTAATGTAATCCTCGCCTCAAATTAGCGGGTACTTCGATAGGAAATTCATCTCTCGGCATCGGCATGCCAAGAGACCGAGACCTTGCACCCCAACACCAAGTGCAAAGTCACTTTGATGCCGCCCCAGTAATAAAGTGATGGGCTTTACTAGCAGCACTCTGAGTGTTGGCTGACCTTGCCGGAACAGGCAATTGATCGGGATATTAGCTTTCGGTCTCGGCCTCAGTTAGAGGTCGTGGACTCTTATTTCATCTGCAGACCGAATTGACCTCCTCATGTGCTTTCGCTACAAGGACCTTCGAACACTCGACCGTGAAGTGAAACAAGCTTGTCTAAACTCTCCTCAATAAAGTCGACAGGCCAAATCACTCAATTTCGGACTGGCCCTAAAACATGCACAGAATGCACGTCAGTACTTTTACCTATTGCGCTTGCAGTGGCGCAAAGTCGAAGTCTAGATTCCACCATAATAGGCCGTCTGGCAGTTTTCCATGAAGTAATTAGGCCCAAAAAACAAATGTTGGGACTGAATGACCGACTAGCTCCTAGTTCACTAGGCCGGTAGATTTTAGAATTGGGGTGCCTGGGGAGTAGTGGGAAGTAGAGCTTGAGAAGAGAAGTAGAAAGTCTTCCTATTAGGACCGAAGAAGATATCGTTGTCAGCAAAATCTCTATATATCACTGAGTTGGTAAAGTTTTGTGTTTTGGTAGGGAGCGCAAGCGCCTGGGAGAGACTAGCAGGAGGAACGACATGATACGACTGTTGTCACATAGACAATAGTTAGTTACTCGAAGCTTGGTTTAACAGGAGGTTTGGAAGCACAGTTGCGGCTTGATCTTTAAGGGATTGTTGGGCGGATGCTGAGCCGATTTCATCACTGCTTTCAGCCAAAATGATCCTCTGCAAAGCTGCAAGCTTTCTGGACACAGATTCAATCTTGACCATTCGAAGGTGAGGTACAGCGAACAAGCCGCGTTGGCTCTGCGATTCCCGTGGCGATGTGACTTGCCGTTCCCGCATGTTGAGTATACGGACCAGATTTCTCACGGGAACGTTGCGTTTCCCGGACTTGAGCCCAGGAGCAATTCATCAAATGGGCATTTTCAAAAGGGGACCATCAATAATAACAAGTTGCCACCTACCTACGTATATGTACCAACTGGAGTGTTCAACAAGCTAGGGCATTTCAACTATTTCCAAGGAATGGCAGACTGGAACCTGATCTTGACTATGTGCGCTATACCGAATAGTGTCTACTTTGTACAGAACAAGGATGATTTTCTTTTTCCTGAAGTCCGCCTTATAATCGACAATTTGATTTCTCTCAGTAAACCTGGCGGCTCCATTTTGTGCTATTGCTGGTCTCCTATGGGGTGTTGGCCCCACTTGTCTCCTTGTGAGCGGAGAAAAGAAGTTGCCGATTTTACCATGAGTCCAGCTCTCGAAAAGCCGAAACCACAGTGATATTTACGGAAGCACAACGGCTACAACTAATGGACCCCGACTGGTCGCGGTAGGCACGACTCAACTATAACTAAATGCTCGGCAAATGGCCACTTCCCTAAATCCCGAACTTCTTCAGGACTCCGCATGGAATCCAGAACAAGCTGCCGTGTCACCGGAAGGGTGGAACCTCCACTCGAGCTGAAGTACTACGTCTTCGTTGGCGTGGGTGAGATACAAGTTCAGGGAACGATGGGACCGAAGATGTGGGGGCGAAATTACAAAAAGACGGTCCGTCAAATTCTTGCCCCGTCTATCGTGCTCTGGGATGGATATCTCTTCAGTGGGACAATTCAGATATCGACGTGACTTTGTTAATGCTAAACCTGCGGACCCTCTGACAAGCGAGACGATTCTGCTGGTCCAAGAAAGGATAATAGATTAGATTCGAAATTAGCCAGAGATACAATCCCCAGGAGGCCAAACTGAGTAACATGGCCGAAAGGCAATTGCTCTCTGGGATGTGGTGCTTAGGGATGAACGGCTTGTATACTTTATTTGGAAATTAACGAATTTTGATGGACGCTGAAGGCCACCCAACTCCAAATTTTCCGATGTCTCGGCACAAAACCTTGAATACGAGGGAACGGGTAAATACAGTACCCTATTATGTAAAGTAGATAATTGATCGTGTGGGTCTCTTGCGCTAAACCTTTCTGGACCCTACTTTTGTAATGTCTCTGTTTTGGAAATGATCCTTACTCGTAGACACTAATATTTTTATGCGTTTTTGACTGTATAAAATACAATCTGGTATCGAAGCGGGAAAGCCCTTGTGAACCATTATCTGGAAGGGTATGGTACTAAGATCGCATGATCATTCGGGTAGATGCCGAAACTTAGTATCGGCGAGGGATCGAGATATCAATATGAAACGAGTGTTCACCCTTCTCTCATTTCTTCATTCAGCCTCTCAATATCTAGATATCCCTCAGCTTGAAAGCCAAGCCAGGGTCATATATAATGCATACTCAGTAGTCTTATTTACCCCAAATCACACTCTTTTATTTGGTCGTCATTATTTCGTAACCATCACTTTATCACTATTAAGCTTGCCGGCATAAAGCTGATCACTACTTACCAACTTGTCCCTTCGTCCTGCTTTCAATCCCTCTCTCCAATTGTGGAACCAGTCGAGTCAGACATGTACTGGAAAGTTGCAATCGCAGGCCTAGCAGGCCTAGGTACTGTGGTAAATGCCGACGCTAACGGCCAATTCGGGATCGACAGCTGCCCAGCCGGTTATGCCCCTACCACATACGTCGTGACTAGGGTGATAAATTCGACAACGAGGGTCAACGATTGGGCAACTGGCTTGCCTACGGCCATCAGCTGGCAAGCTACTTCGACCCAGGATGGGGTGTGGACACCTTCTTCCTCTACGACCAGTGTCGACAAAACAAAAACAGGCGCTACTGGATCTGCACCTACTCAGGCAAATAACTATTCGCCGACTGTGCCTGCTAGTGTTAGTAGTTCCCCGGTGATTGAGCCTTCTCAAAGCTCGGCATTGTCTTTGCAACCTTCGCCGTCGCCGCTGGCCGGTGGTGTCGTCCACGGACAGGCCACTTCCTATGACGATGGCGAAGTGAGTGGTACATGTATGTTTTCCACAGCTGACTACACCCTCCCGGCTGGAATATATGGTGCGGCTCTATCTGTGAACAACTGGGACAGTGCCGCATGGTGTGGTGCCTGTGTTTCTGTCGTTGGGCCAGGCGGGAAATCAGTTAAAATCATGGTGAGTAGAGAAATACCTCTGTATAAATGACATTCATCGTTAATCTGATTCTGATTGCTTACGCCTTGTGTTTGTGATGCATTAGATTGTTAACCAGTGTCCCGGAACTTGTGGATTAAACAATCTTGATTTGCTCCCCGGTGGCTTCCAACAACTGGCAGACCTCAAAGTCGGCCGAATCAACGTGGACTGGGAGATCGTCAAATGCAACATCAGCAGTCCGCTGTTCCTGAAAACCCAAACAGGATCCTCTAAATACTGGTTCAGTATACAAGTGGTCAACTCGAATGTCCCGGTTAAGTCGCTTGAGGTTAGCACCGATGCTGGGCATACCTGGCAGTATCTGAGCCGGCAAGAATACAACTTCTTCCAAAACCCTAGCGGCTTTGGGGTGGACTTTGTTGATGTTCGCATAACGAGCGTCACGGGTGAGACGATCGTGGTGAACAATGTCAACAGCGCCGCGGAAACCCGGGCTGACGCTACATCAAACTTCCACTGAACAGCAAAATTTATCTAGACGGATGTCTCTCTTATCTTATTTTCTCACTTTTTACTTTCTTCCTCTCTCCCTCCCTATAATGGGCTGTTTTCTTTCTTCTCGTGTATTGCCATTCCCCTTCTGTCCCATGAAACAGCATTTCTGGCAGCAAGTTACAAACCTTCCTTGTGAGAACATTGGCAGATGGTCCGAGGTTGTTGTGACTTATTTACGGGTTGAAAACGGATGGTTATCTTGAAGAAGGATAATAGTCCATTCCAAACTCTATTTGTGACCTCGCACCTCTTACAACAATGTTCAAACTAATATAAAGATTCTTGATTATAATTAGAGGATTTCATTCTGTAAAACTGCACTACTTCATTGAGTCATACATAGCGCATAAGCTTAGGGTGCTTTGAGTAGTCCAGAAATTGGACTTCCCCTGGCCTTTTGCGTGATTGAATGTTAGGAAGGCCGCCACGAACCATAACGAAGAGCGAAATATGATATGTTAAAAACCATAATAATTCGGCCCTATCAACGACGACATCCGTTGAAATCGGGGAGCCAGCGTTCCTATAGTATAGTTTAAGGTCTAGTATGGGTAGATCGACGTCAAGGCAGGGTGATTATTTACGTAAATGGTAGATGGTTCCTCCGTGGAATTAAAGGGGCCCGTAGATGCAATAATTGTGCGTTGTGCTCTTGACGCAGGTAGACGATGCAAAAGCGCATCCACATTGTCGTTGACGAAGCGGTACGGCATCCTTAAGAGGTTGGAGCATATCCTAAAATCAAACCTTTTGCTTACACAATACAGTTGGAATCAAGTGGTTTAAGAATATTTCCTTGGATGGAAGTCTTGGAAAATCAACTCTTAGCTGCCTCCTATCCATGTTCGTAAATCAAAATCCAACCGCTCCCCACGAAGTAGCAGTATAATCTCCCTGGCCGAATTCCCAACCTGCCATAACACTGGTCAAGTAGTCATCCCTGCTATACCAGCCGTTGCTAATACCATGATCGAAGAATGGCTTTAGACTACCCGAGAACCAACCTGAGTTACTTGGGTCGACGTAACTCATGGTTAGAGCGCCACCGGTAGGCCAACTGTAGAATATGTGTTAGGAGAGTCGATGTTAGCTGTGTTACCTAATATAACTCACTGGTATAAGTAAACATCCCACCCTTTGCCCCCAATGTTCACATTCCGTGCCCACGGAACCGCGCCGTTTGAGTCATAATGGTCGGAGAGAGGAGTATTAGGAGCGCGATAGCCTACCCAGATCATCACCTCATATTTTGAGTTGCGGTCAGTGGGGGCGTAACTCGGGTCAATGAAGATATCATAGCTATTGAATTAAGTGAAATAAGTTCTCGATCCGAAATTATATCGAAGGGTATAGTGTCTTACCAAGCATCATATCCGTGGCCTGCCGCGGGAGCAGCATTCTGACTAAACCAGGTTGTATGCCCAGAGTTAAGATCGTTGATCTTCTTAGGCAGAGTATGAACTGGCGACCAAGTGCCCCAGTCTTCGCCAGTAACCATAGCAACAAAACCAGAACCACCTGGGGCGGTTACTCCCCATGAATTATCGTTATTGTACCATGCATTGATACTGCCAGATGTAGGAAAGTGCTTGAAGTAGTAAGTGCTTGAGTCAGCACTATAGACAGGGTGACCAAGTCCACTCAAGAGGATAAATGAGGCAGAGATGAAGCGATGAAACCAGTTCATTGTGACTGTCAGAAAGCCTTCGTTGTCTGATCATGAATCCAGGCACTCCAGTTGAAAAACATGGAAAGAAGAGTCGGTATATATACTTTTTGGAATCCATTGAGAGCCAGGAATGATGACGGGTAATATTGAGTCTGAGAATGTCTCTTCAAGCCACCAAGTTGCTGGCTCTTTGCCCCTATTTGGTGTGATCTCATGACTTAAAGATCCCTGGCATTATGAGATCAATATGCACTCGCCAATAACCCGCTGCCTAATTTATGTGATGCAGCTAATCTAGTATAGATCGCCAACTTTACCTCACACATGGCATTTAAATTAGCCGCAAGGGCATGAAAAAATTGTGAGCTTTAAGGCTTACACCCTGTGATACTCTCCCCAAGAGCCAGAAAGATAGCTGGTTAATTCATGCGCCGCGGAGTGTATCCGAGATGTATCATGCTAGCATCTTGATATAACTTAGACTTAGGCGAAACAGACAGAGCCCTTTTGCGGGGGATATTATGTCTATTTGAAATTGCCGGAGAGCTAACAGTGGCTTGGAACGAATTCTTTAATGAAACACTCTACTAAAATCATCTCTATAGCTCTATGCTCTTCTCACCTAACACACGGAACAATGCTGTCTAAGCACCGTTCGAATATAGATATTGAGCCAGAGCCTCGGAAAGTTAGCTTTGGTCCCTTAGATATTAATATTTCTTCATAAGATGTACAAAATTTCCGACAGGAGATGATTTTTTAAAGGGGGGTCATAGGCCGTGCTGCAGATCTCTCCGGCGGATAGAGGGAATTCGTCACATATGGCTTTCCCGGCGCTAGAGATTGGTGTGTCAGAACTGGTGGAGACTATCCCGCTGGGTCGTATTCACCCCGGCTTGTGTTTTGGGGGGTGGGGGGTGACACGTGCAGTCTAGAGCGAAAAAGGAAAACTGCAGAAAAGGAACCGACGCCGCGCCAATACAGGGTATCGAGAAGCATGGCAACATAGCAAAGGGTACCAGAGCTGGCAAAATATAGCACGAGATATCCGGGCATGTTTAGTAGAATGGCGATCTTAGAGTTGTTACTCGGATAAAAGATAGCCAACGTTACCGTAGTCAGCTAGTCCATAGGTCCGTAAGTCCATAAATTGTCTAAACATCCAAACCATTACCTTAGAGCCCAACAGCCACCAAGCAGCAACAACACTCCCATCGAGTGTGATTACATATCTTCAGTCCCAAGATTCTCCGAGTCACAATCAAAGCCCAGGCCTATACGTTAACAGATCATTTGTAGCAGGTGACCAGGAAGTGAATTACGGGGAAATGCGTACACCTCATCGAGGGCTGCAGAGGTATATCTTTGTAGTAGAATATATCCGAAGGACGAATGATGCTTCGTTCAAGCGGCTTTGATAGGTGCATTATAAATAGTTCTATAGCTGCTGCAAGGCTCGGCATGATCCCTACTCAGCAAATATTCATTACCACTTTTGTCGCAATACATGTTTGCATTAAATTACACACAGGGTTTTAACCAGGCATAGCGGCTAATATTCTCTATAGTAGCGTTTAAATTGCTCCATATAGGTTTGAATTCCGCAAACCGTTTATATTATAATAGCGTCGCCACTATCTTACTGATATTCGTGAGCCCATTCTTGGTAGCCCTGGATGTTAGGGAGAATAACGACCACAAAATAAAGAGCGTAGTGCAACTGCTTGCTGATCTGGAATATTTGATTCAATGATAGTACTTGGGTTTTAGATCGAATCTGACACGGATAAATAGGCTGAAGAAGTGAAGAGACCTCCACAATTTCTCCGCTAGACAAACAGCGCGATGTAATATCGTCTCGCTCATTCCAATCTCCCAATCCCGTTTTGTATACAGTGTAGCATTCGGTTTTTAAATTAATCCATCAATCCCTAAATTTATGATTTTTAAAAGTAATTTAACTTGCTGTGTCATCGTTGATTACATCGTCAACATGTATTTAGCCACTAGATTTCAACGCCATTTCATCTGCCTTGAGTTGCACGATCAACCAAGAGAGCATGTCTGAGCCATCCAAGGAAGCGATCCAGCATAAGTCCAATAGAAAGACCTTTCAGAGAGGAAGTGGAAGTCGCCGTATGCTCGGTTGGCCCGTTTCTCCAGTCTCTGGACTCGGTCTAAACTGCCACTGCACTACGTCTGTAGCAGGCCTCAACACCTGAGAAGCTGTCTTGACTTAACCGGCCGTCTGGAGTCGATTTCGAAGTAGGTTTTCCCATCACACGTACGCTTTGTCTCTCGATTTATACTCGAAGACCATAATCATGTCAGTATTGGAAACAACCTCATCCAGTAGTATTAAATTGAAATTACTTACACTGTACACGGTAGATGATGCAGAGTGAGCCTAATTAGAGAAAGGTTGGCAAGTTCATACGCCTTATAGAATATATCTTAATAGTACATTCACCGTGCCCTGCATGGACACAGTAAAGAGCGCAGACAGTAGCTTTCTCGGCCCTGCATGCAATGAATTTTCTACAAAATTAACGAAAGCATCGATTCATTGTTTTTGTTTAGTAATAATTGTATCTTAATTTACACCACAACGCTAGGTGACGGTAAATTGGGCGCTGAAAATGGTTACTTCTGACGCCACTTTAAGCGTCCATTTTACGAAGAATCTTAGTCACCATAATGCACGTGATCCGACACGACCCACTTTTAGTATATACTCACTGAGCACTCAGGGTTGCTCAGTGATCAGCTCACCCTTCACTCAGTGTGCTCAGGGAAGACGATCAGTGTGTCATAATGGCCTGCATCAAAAGAGAGAGAAGTGTCTTACTACTCTCTGGGTCCTTCTGAACTCCAGTCTTTACAGTTTCTTTTCGTCATTCAGTTGTTCTTCTGCGGCGTCAGTACTTGCCCACGTTCTTTGGCCGAATCTGTTATTTCCTGAGGCATATCTATTTTGAACTATCCTGCTTCAAGGAAGAAGCAAATCTGCAGCCCCGAGTATTATCGACGGCGTCGCCAGCAACTGGAGAAAGGTATTGTCCTCTATGCAATAGTCGCTACCGGTACTGGCGAACCATATTCACATTAGATTCAAGAAGTGCCTTTATTAAGAGCAATGATGAAGCTAGAAAGGGATGTGCTAGATGGACTCCCCCTCTATATGAGCTACATTTTCCAGCCTGTGGTATCCCCGTTCCAATTTTTGTTACGCCATTCATTCGAAGAGGGTTCCGCGAGGCCATAGCGCGCTAGGGCCTCAGGACCGATCTTGATGTTGCTCCGGTCTTTAGGTTCGTCGTTAATGCCGTAGATGTAACCGATGAAGTAACTGAAGAGAACGGAAAATATTAGTCCACTTATTTGACATAAAACACAACATGTAATAACATACAGGGTGCCTGTTTGACTGTGCCAGACTAGCTTAGAGAGACTGGGCGTATAAGGTCCATACCCTTTCTCGAGCGCCTGACTAAAGTTTATCGTTAGCATGATCAGGAAACGGGAGGATCGACATACGGAAGAGCCTTCATAAAGGCCATACGGACATGTTCCCTCTCGACAGCGGACAGAGTCCAGTATGGATCATTCCCAAGCTTGTCACCGAGGCGTAGACCTGGGACCATTTCCCACGCCAGCCAGATCGCAAACCCATTTGGGACCAGCCCTGACTTATCTTGAGTGCTGACCTTGTATCCTAGGAGCTTTGGTACATTTCTGAAATCCTTCTGAGTAAACTCCTGGTAGGCAGTTAACTCTGGGGGCGTGTATGTTGTGGCCTGGCGGGATCTGGTCTTCGGATCTTGTATCTCAGTGTTCTTAAAAGGAACCTGAAGATAAACTCGCATGAGGACTTTCCTGGAGGGCTTCTTTGGATCGCAACAGAGGAGTTTAGCCGTAGCGTAAGAGTAGTGGCCATGGCGACGACGCATTTCTTCACTAGCCTGGAAGATACGCTCATTGAGCTTCTCGAGGATCTTCCACTGCGAAGGGACAGGTTGATCGAGGGTGATGATTGTGCCAGGGTCTGTTCCTTGGTGGAACCAGCGCGAGGATGGGGACGACATTGTTGTAAGAAGGTTGAAGAATCAGGAAGTTGAAGAAAGAGAATGTTGCGGTAGGAAGAGTCCTGAGTTAGAGATGGCGAATGAATAAAGAGGTGAAAGGAAGAGTCAGAAGGTGGCAGGAGAAGTAGGTATTATTGCCTAGACTTCAAGGTTGCCGCAGGTGGGGAAATCGCTGGCGCAGTGAAAGTCTAATTTGCTCACATCACATCATTCATTGAGAGTGTTTGTTATGTTTGTACTTCTCCCTTCAGTCACCCAAGCCACGGCTGAAGCAGTCCAGCACAACACACAGAGATATAAGAAACGCAACTATTAGCCACAGCAGTCACGTTCATCACCTTACTGATGCCCTAGGTGGCCAACCTCCCGGTACGCTTCGACCTGTCTGCTTTGCTGAAGCGGGAGGCTAGGTATGCTCGAAGTAGTCTGACAAAGCAGACAGGTCGAAGCGTACCAGTGGAGAAAGCACAAAGCAACAGAAAAGCCGAGCTCCTGTCGTGTCCCTTGGCCCTGGCAGTGCCTCAGGCGCTGTCAATAGGCACTCCTATCGAGCAAGGATAAAACAGGAGAAACCCAGCCGTGGTATTCGAACGGGTCATTATATCACACCACGCTCTTGATGTTGTGTACGGACCAGGGACTGTTCTAACGGTCAACAACACAGTCTTCTTTTTATCCTCTGCTTCCTCTATCCAGGAAAAGGTGAGCCAAATCAAGCGTCCACTGCCCACTCTGAGGCTCAAAGCTCAGTGTATTACAGCAGATTGGAGTCTCGAAGACATCAACGACAACTATTGATCGAAGCGGTCACTAATTATGACAAAAGATTTTGACGTGACGTATCGACGATTCCCTCAGAAATGCATTGATCATGAGAACGAGGAGATTATAAGTCGGTTGCTGGCAATGGTGCTTAGGCTGTGACTAAGGCGCATATCGAGTTCAGTGATGAATCGAATGCTTCAGTGCGCCGAGCTGCTTAGCGGTCTCGTATTGGGAAAATATGTTGCTACGGATGTGAGCAGAGATCAAATACACGGGTTTCAGGTGCGTATGTAAATGGATCTTTTTTGCATCTCTTTACTCCCATTCTACAAAGGTGAACATTATTATCCACGCCGTCGAGCTCTGACTGAGGATCACTTCATTCAGACTGGTCTCAATAGAGAGGCAATTGATTGGTCGATATTGCAGATTTGCTTGATGAAAGAGTCTAGCCTCTCAAGAGAATCTCTCTGTCCACCTCTGCGTCCGCATGCCCGTACTCGTACCAAAATCCGAATTTGCTAGGGCCAAGAGCCCGACATGGAAAAAGCTCTGACAAAGGGACACCTGCTGGCCCGTGGTACTCCCTACCGCGCTGTGAAGGATTACAGGAGAATACTCCAGCCCCCATGCCCGACCGACATCGACCTTTCGAAGGAACATTGTTTGGCTGTACGTTGTCATGAACCCATACTTGAGACGCATGTCAAACATGTATTCAGCAATTTGGCCTATATATGTGTGAGCACGAGAATCAAACATGGTGGCGTAAGTCTGACCTAGTTGGTGCCGAAAGAGTCTCCCATCGAGACCAGCCTCAAAGTTCCAAAGTGCATTGTCCAGGTCATGCTCATTTATCCAGTGTGTCTTGCCTTCTCCCACGATCTTGGCTACGTCCGAACTAGTCTTCATGACAAAATCGGGTTGTCGCAAGTAGCCACGATACGGCGGCAAGGCACCCCGGGAGTCTCCCAGCACAAGGTCCAGCTGCTGGGCACGAAAAGCGGCGCCCAAAACGAGTCCGGCTCGCCCTTCTAGCCTGCCTTGCACTCCTCGTTCGTTAGAGACGAAGACCTGCTCCTCGTCGACAGAGCCGGCGGCAGCAGGCCCCGTTATCCGGGAGTCGAGATGTTGCAGGCTCCACGTTTGGGCATTAAAGGTGTTCATGACATCCGACTCGAAGTTTGCCCATGGTTGTAGAACTCCAACGAAATGAACGCGGTGCAAGGCGTGACTTGTGGTACGGCGGGGGCTGATGTTGAGATCGGGGAGGGGCTGGAGTAAGAGGTCTCGTGAGTTGAAAACGGCGGTGGTGGCCATGGCCATGGTGTTGGTGGTGGTAGTTTTGCGATCCTGGTGCGTTGATGAGAAGTGAGCCAAGCGTTGTGATGGATAAAGGGCAGGATCCGAGGCGAGAACATACGAGGAGGTGAACTTTGAAATGCTGATAGAGTTGATCAAGAGGTGATGCGCTATGTGATCAAGAAGTGAGTGTTCAGTGGTGTTAACGTGTCTCGCATTTACGTGAGGAGGACGTCTCTCTTTCGCTACAATCAGGGCGTCTTCAACGAGTATTCACCGAGCCTGTGGCCCTCTCAACACAAATTAATTAGATCATAGGCAAATACCTTAACTGCGCTTGATTCCTAAGTGGCCATATTATCTTGTAAGGCTAATATTGTATCTCCGCTCTTAGTGACTAAAAGCTCTACCTTGCTAGAGGGGCTACTTTGCTGGCACGCCTAGAACACATGGTTGCTTTAAACTATTGTAAGACCTCTACTAAAGGCGCAATTGAGAAGAAATTCCAGCATCTAACTATAGCCCATTTAGCGGCCAGTTTCTCTTTATAGGTTAGGAGGATAGTCATGGTTGAGCATTAGAAGTGAACTTCGCGAGTCTATGGAGATAGATAGATAGATTCACATTTGACCATCCTAGGTATGCTAACAAGATGGTACTCTCTTATTTCAATTAGCCTTCTAGTCCCTTAGAACAATATCCCATATAGTACTCAAGCAAGTAAAGCAAGTACTACCAGGGCGGCTTTGCCAGTATGGACGCCCAGAAGCAGATATGCAACATCTCGAGCGTACGTATGCGAGACATAGCTAATCAACCCGGCAGCGGGATATCGCATCCCAAGGCGGCAATGCATCCAGTGGCAGCTTCGAAGCTGGTGACCCCCGAGCCAGAGAGGCCGGTCAGAGGGGTTGCCAGGCCTCTAGTAGAAGCTTTGCTCCTGGAGATCCGCGCGCTAGAGAGGCTGGACATAAAGGTGGCTTGTCTGGGCCCGAGGACTAAACTTTTGAATGGGATCTTTTTGATAAGAGCTGTCAGAAATATATTACACCCATTCCGCCTGAACAGTGGCTAGCAATACAAAGACTGCACTCGAGTCTCCCAGTCTCCCCAAGACTGTAGATCTTGGAGAGGACCAGTAGTTGTAAAAAGACGAGTATTTTCATACGACTCATGTACCTCATAGATGAATGCCAGAACAGAATAAAGTATATGATAGTCGATCCCCGAGTGGACACGACGCGTCTTGGCAGCCCCCGATCTCGATCGTCTCGATTCTCTACTTCCACCTTCTCGCCAAGTGTTCAGCCTCAGCTCACCTCCAGAGACGAGCAGGAGCCAGGGGTCAATGGATATCTCCATGCACTGAGAACTGAGCATGCCCTCCCCATTGACCGTCCTCAATGCCATCTCCAACATCCTAGCGCAGCTCATCGACCAGCGCAAGAACACCGTACCGTCAATCGACGATATCGTGCTCGAGGATTTCCCAGTCCCAAATACCAACTATCGCCAGTCTTTCCTCGGCGACAACAAGCAGCTAAGCACTCACCCGCTTCCGCAGAGCTTGCTGATCTCATATGATTTGGAAGATCGTCACAGTATCGCCGAATTCGACTATACATTTGAAAAGCCAGCGCGTTTGATCGGTCTGACAAAGGCTGTTTTGTACATGTCTTGCGAGGACCGCGACGACTTCATAGCATTTGTCATTCAGGCTAGCATTAAGAGAGTAAGCGGAAGAGAACGTAGGTACGAGGTATTTTCACATTCTTAGGCAGGATTAAAGGAATCGAGTCAATCGACGTTAGGAAAGTAGGGCGCGTTATTACAGCTTCGGGACTACGTCATCTGCTGACCTAGAGTCCTAGGAGCGAGTAGGCTGCAGCGCGGTTACCATCGGAGCAGGTAAAAGGTGGTAAAAGGCCAGAAAACAAGATTAGGAATGAAAGGGGCTAGTCAGGGGTGAGCGCTCAAGGTGCTCAGGGCGGCGGGGGTGACTAACTCAGTCTGGGCTCCGGGAGCCGATCGCTTCCCGAGGCGGTAGCCTTACCGTCACCAATATTACGTATTAATGATAAGGAAAACACGGAGATCAAACGGAAGAAACCATAGTAAGAAGATTACTATTTCGGGATAATAATATTAGCGTAGTCTTTCCACATCTTTCCTCGAAAGCTTATACTAGAAGAACCTACGAGTAATAACATGCTCCGATTGATGTATTATATGTGAAGGGCTGGAGCAGAATTGATTCAATTGTACTAGGCCGTCATGCTGTTTACAACAATCTTGAAGAGAGGAGGGAACTCGCTACGGTTTCCCCAGGAAAACGGCAGTGTTCCCTTTCTGCCGGAGGCGGTAACCTTCCCGCCTGTCAAAACGCCTGAGGCTATGGCACATGGTTCATCACCGGGCTCTGGCCCGTTACATTATAATTATTTATTATCTTCTTAAAGATATTTCCTACGATAAAGTATACTTATTCTCTCGAAGTAATCCGGGATATCACGATCTAAAGATTAAGTATATTACTCTAGACCTCTAGGGCTCTGTATAGGAGATAGCTGTTACGCGTAGCCGACTGGTCACTGTGAGTAGAACTGCCTAGGGTTATACTTGCCTAGTTCCGCTGCGGATTCCAAGAGTATCTCGCAACCGTACCGTTGCTGTGCTAAGCCTTACACGGATTCGGGTCCTATTGAGTATCTTGCAGAACGTGCTAGAAGTGCGCGCTAAGTAAGTCAGTCACTGAGTAGTAATACTAAGTAAGCTCCCCTACTTGTAGGTTAGGTTGTCTTATGTGTCAACTATGAAGTGCAAAGTACTAATAGTAGTAACCAAGTAATAATATAAGATTGATCGCGAAGAACTAAATACATATATACTGAAGGAGTGTCCTTATATATCCAGTTTATCCGATCCTGGGCTATAATCGGGTTATATCCTGGGTATGATCCGAGTATAGCGTAGGTATGATCTTGTTATAGCGTGGTTATGACCTTGTTACAACTTCGTTACCTGTTGATTATATCCTGGCTATAATATTAATCACGTGATTACGTTGGTCTTTATAACGTGATAATATTCCCTTATAACGTTATCTAATCTAGTCTCTTGCTAACTGATCTAAGTTAATTAGGTATCAGTATCCCCTATCCCCCGTATTAGCGCTATTGCGTAAGAGTCTCGTAACATCATCCCCTCCTTTCGTAGGTCTTTATCCTTAAAGACTGTTAAATAGTACGTTCCGCCCCGTGAGTGTGCCTTGTTAATTTCCCTTTTATTATTATCCCTTTATAGTAGTACTAACTATATCTTCGAAGGCGTCTATCAAGAAGAACCGTCTGTACTAGCGTATCGAGGAGGAAGATTATCGTTCCGTACTTCCTTACGACTGCTACGTGCGTCTTTATAAGATCTATTTCCGGCCTGACGATTCCGATCGTTATAGTGAGTATATTCGTGCTAGAAATTCAAAGTGTACGATATCGAAGCTAACTTTTTCCGATACCGAATAGCGCCGTTTAATAAAGGCCCGTTAAACCCTTTAGGAAGAAGAAGAGGTAGCCCTAGCTAAGCTTCTTCGCCTTAAAAAGTAGTCTTGCTTGTTAGAGAGTCGTGCTAGTGATTTTATTGCTCGCGATTATAAAGAGATTACTAAGTTAGAAGAATTAGAGCGTCGTGAAAAGGAAGAGCTTAAGCGTATTGAGCAAGAGCGCTTAGAGTCTAAGTGTGAGCAAGCGATGCTGCGCAGGTTGGTAAAGAGGAAGATAAATTAAAGATGATTAAGATCGATCGATTGATCTTTCTTCCTCTTGATTGAATAGGAAGGATAAAATCAATTCGGCTTAGAATCATAAAGATAAGATAAGAGAAGAGTAAGGTAGGACTGAAGCTTGGTTGATTATATTGAATCTTGCTTGTATGTTATTAACATAATTATTATCTTGGTAGAGAAAGCAGGGCATATTTATAATCAACTTGTCTCTTGCATGTGATCGTTCTAGATGATGTATGATGATCTCATGCAGACAGATCTAGATGTATAGTGATCTCATGTAGTAGCTGTTTGATCGGTGGTTGCTTGATTGTACGATGTTATTGACTGTAGTGATGATGTAGATCGTGTCATTGACTGTAGTAATGATGTAGATCGTATACTATTGTATACGTCTTACTTGATGTCATTGACCGTAGTGATGATGGTATAGCATAAAGCTTATAGAGATTCAGCCATCTTGTATAGGCCTTATGAATCTAGCTTGATATGCTATATAACGGTTTAGGCATCTTGCCCTATATCTCACACCGAATATCTCACACCCCCCCGTAATCTTTATACTATAGTGCAGATAGTAGTAGAGTATAGAGATTAGTATAGAGTAGATAGGATCGATATATATATATACTACTATAAGATAGCTAGATATATATCTTCCTAAATCTCGATCTCTCGGAGATTAGCTAGATTCTTCAGGTCTTTAAATATTTCTCTTCTAACGTTTTTTGTTAGGAAATCTGCTAATTACAGTTTAGTAGGGACGTATTGAACATTAACCCTTTCTTGTTTGACCTAATCTCTGATATAGTGATATTGTATATCAATATGCTTCGTCCTTTTATAAAATTCAGGGTTTTCGGCTAGCTTAATAGCTGCCTTATTATCCACTAATATAGTAGGCTTGCTAGGCGTATAGCCTAGACCTAATCTATCGTTTAGATAGTTAAACAGGTTAGCTAGATAGATAGCTTCCCGTATAGCTTCTTTTATAGCTATATATTCGGCCTTGTAGGTAGATAGAGCTACTAATTTTTGTAGTATCGAATTCTAGCTTACTATATTATTAGTAGCTAGATCTCTAGATAGGCTAAATATATAGCTAGTAGTAGATTTTCTACTATCGATATCGCCTGACTAATCAGCATCAGAGTAGCCTTTTATATATAGGTTATTCCCTGTGTAATTATAGTGTAGGCCTAGATTTAGCCGATATTATAGATATTGCTATATCTTCTTTAATTTAGAGATATATGATTAGTTAGGATTGCTTATATATCTTGAGCAATAGGCAACTAGATAGGCTATATTAGGCCTAGTCTTTAGGCTAGTATATAGTAATAAGCTAATCTCTTTTTAATAGAGATTAATAGTTTATTCTAAAGCTTTTAATTAATTTTTTCTTAGGTAGATCCCTGCTTTACCCGGCGTTTTCTTTAGCCGTTTGCTACTAGTAGTAGCGAATTTTGACAAGATCTTTGATATATAATTATTTTAATCGATAGTTATCGATTGATCTTGATAATTTAGGCTAATATTATTAACTAGGAAGGTAGCTAATTCGCCTTTAGATATACTACCTAGCCGTAGTAGCTAGCTTATTAATATAAGCTAGATCTTTATGTATAATAATTATATTATCAATATATATGATAATAATAGCCTAGGTTTTGCTATTTATATATATACCCTCGTCGATAGGAACTCTATCGAATCCGAGGTTCGCGATAGCCTTTGTAAAGAATTCAGACTAAAGCCTTAGTGCTTGCTTTAGGCTATATAGGGCCTTCTTTAGGTAGTAGCACTTATTTTAGTAGACAGGGTCTCCTGGCCTATATAGGCTAGTTAGCAAGATAGTATATATATCACTATCGATATCGGCGTATACGAATGCGTTTTTGACGTCGTATTACCTAATATGCTATTTTTTATTCATCGCGATAATCAATATTATATACCAGGTTTCTGTTCTAGTAGTAGTAGAGAAGGTTTCTAGGAAATCAACACCTAATCGTTGATTAAATCCTTGTATAACCTATCTAGCCTTATAGCGAATCGTTTTGTTCGTATTTATAATATAATTAGCCTAGATACCTATAGTATTCTTTATAGGCTTCTTTTTGAATACCTATCTACCCCTAATAGGTATTACACTAGGGGTATATCAACGATTTTATAGGTTGCCTAATCTATTAGGCTTTGATTTTCGTCCTGACAGGCCCTATACTACTTATTCCTTTTAGCTAATTATATAGCTTGATCAAAGGTAGAGGGTTCTTAATCAGTTACTACCGATAATATATAATCGGTAGGCTGATCGTTGATAATAGTCTTTATAAAATCTCCTAGTAGCGTATCCGATATAGTATATATATCTTCGCTAGCAGATAGGATTTAGATCTCTATCTTATAAGACGGATCCGCTGCTATAGCAGCTTCCTTACTAGTAGTTTACTTAGTAGGTTTACTAGCTGATTTGCTAGTAGATAGGCTAGTAGATTTACTAGTATTTCTAGTAATCTTCTTGATTAGGTTCGCTGCTTGTTTAGCAGATCTTTTCTTAGCAAATCGATTTTCGTTTGCTTTAATTCCTAGCTACTAATTAGCTAGATTAGATTAATTTAATAGGAATCTACCTTCTAAGATAGTAGGGTCTCTTAACTAGACTATCTTCTTCTACTCTAGATTATATAGCTTATAGTGCTTCTGCTTACTATAGCTAATAATAATAGCTATAGACTTTCTTAGCGATAGCTTGCTAGGTAGGTTTTTGTTTATATAATAGTAGGTAATAGATCCCTAGGTCTTTATATACCTGATAGCAGGTAGGCGCTTATAATATATCTCGTAGGGTGATTTGAACCCTAGAGCACTATATAGGGTTATATTATATAGATAGATAGTAGCTAATAAGGCTTCTCCCTATATATCTTCTTTTAATCCTGATTAGATTAATAAATATCTAACCTTATTTATAAGTATTAGGTTTATACGCTTAATTAGGCTATTTAGCTCTTTTGTATAGATAGGCGTAGTTCGGTGTATAATACCGTATCTTCCTAATAATATATAGAAGTTATTATTCACGTATTCAGTACTATTATCAGTAAATATCTCTTTAATCTTCTTATTAAGCTAGTTTTTAACTAATTGCTTATATAAGGTAAATTTCTTAATAGCTTCGTCTTTTAATCGAAGTAGAGATATATATAGATATCTTAATGCTTTATCAAGAAATATAATATAGTAGCAATAGCTATTATAGGTCTTAGGGCTAATAGGCCCTCTAATATCGCTATAGATTCTTTCGCCTATACTATATTCGGCAGCAGAAGTA